GGTAGACTCCTTTGACGAACTGAAGCAGATTTTCCTCAACCACTTTATGATCCAAACGGATCGCCTGTACTATGCCGATGATCTGTACGCGATTCGGCAAAGAGAAGACGAACCCCTATGGGAGTACGCGGCAAGTTTCAGTCACGAGTACTCGAGGTGTCCCGAAATGGATGATAGGGCAGCCTACGGTGCCTTCAAGAGTGGCCTTCGGTCCTCTCATTTCCGATACCTCGTGCACAGTAGTAACTGGCGCACGTATGACGAGTTGATGAAGCAGGCGGCAGTTGATGCAAAGGCCAAATATTTCAACTCCAAACCCGGGCCTTCGGCTCGGAAGAAGGAGTCAACGACCAAGACTTACCCGGGGCGGACCGATGGTTCTTCGGTAGGGAACAAACGGAAGGACGACCATGACGGTCCTCATGGAAACTCGAAGAAGGGACGCGGGAAATACGGTCGTAACGACCACCGGGCACCACTACCGAATCGTGATCGTGCCCAGGAAGTCTTCACCCTGCTAAACACAACATACGAGACAGTTCTGATGAACGAGCATGACCAAATCCCAAAGCCAACGACCCGAAAGCCCAATCGGCAGGACAATCGGGACACTAGCAAATTCTGCCGATACCACCAGCAGAACAGCCACAACACCGAAGACTGCATCAGTCTGAGGAAGATCGTTGAGCGCCTGATTCTGGAAGGAAAGCTAGATCATTACATCGCCAGGCCACCACAGGCCTCGACACCGAACGCAAATCGGCAGATCAACACGATCAGCACCATCAGCGGAGGCCCCACTCTGGCGGGCCCTTCCAACCGTTCAGTGAAACAGTATGTGCGTGCCGCTCACTACCCCCAGGTCTTCAATCGGTACTGTAAGGTCCCGAAGGTAGGGTGGGAGCCCATCACATTCAGCGAAGAGGAGGAGGGGATCATTTATCCCCACGATGACCCAATGATCATTCGGGCAGAAATCGCCTGCTATGATGTGGGTCGGGTGCTAATCGACACCGGGAGTTCGGTGAACGTAATCTTTGCTGATGCATTCGTAGGCCTGGGAATCGCCGACAGGATGGTCAGTCGGCAAATTACGCCCCTCCTCAGTTTTTCTGGGGATCTGGTCCAACCGGTCGGTAGTATCAGTCTGCCCATCGCCTTCGGCTTCGCCCCTAGGAAAACGATGACCTACGACCAGTTCCTCATTGTTGACTCCCCAACGGCGTATAACGTCATCATAGGGCGCACGACACTCACCAGGACCAAAGCCCACTTATCCCCCCACATGCTGCTGATGAAATTCTCTACAC